TGAAAAACTTCCTTCGTTCTCTCTACTCCTTTTGTGCCTGACAGTATTGCTTTTTAAATGTTTCCTCTTCCTTTTTTAAAAGGTGTTGCCAAAATATCATGTAAAAATCTCTGGACCGCTGGCTATACCTCAAGTGGAACATACAATTTGAAAGTCAACGGTTATTCATTTCAGGTAAGTCAGAGGCGGCGGAGCGTTTTCAAACGTGGGGAGGGGGTCATCTCCTCAGCCATACGCATACCCCTACTAAGATTTTCCAAAATGCTCTTTGCTTTGTTCGTTGGCACAAGCAAACCTCTTTGCAGTCTTCACAGTGTTTAGTGTGTCCGTAATCGATTTTTGACAATGCGTTAGTAAGCAGTTGCTTTGGCGTTCCTACTTTATTGCCACTACCACTGCCACTGCCATTGTCACTGTCATTTTCGAAAGGCTACCACGCAGACTAGCTAGCTTGTGGATCGAAGGACATCCCATAAAAGGACAGTGACGATGGCAATGTGCACAAATGAAGGCTGTCTAGATTGTCAAGAAATGAAGTCTCATGTCTCGTGCCCTTATTTCGTGATCCTTCCGTTCGCTTCACTTCAATTGCTTCAATCGACTTGTGGTAACGGAATGCTGTTATGTCGTACCTAGTTGAACGTCATAGAGTGTTTTCACATGACGTCACGGCGGCCATATTGGTGTCCCAAAACAATTAAACGGCGGCCATGCTGGTGTCCCACACCAGTCCTGTCCCTTACGAAATGAGACACTATCTTTTTTCTATCTTAAAGCTAGTTAATGAAACTATCTACAAGCTATCTTGTTTCTAGTTTATTCCTATCTTCATGCCCCGTGTAGCCACTAATAACTAATTACTATCTTCAGCCTATCTTAATAATAACTAATTTCTAGTTATTTGGAACCATGCAGATAGGCTATCTAAATACTATCTTAAAAAGGAAATTTTTGCATCGCTGCAATAGTTAGCTTTTGGATACACATAAGATAGAGTAAAACTAGCTTTTTATCGGCTAAGAAGCTAGTTTTCGGATACGTTTTTGCCAATAATGACATCATTGACATAGTTAGAAACTAGTCATTAGATAGAAGTTAACTAGCAATTTACATGTATTAATAGCACGATAGATAGGAATAAACTAGACATAAACTAGTTGAACGATAGTGTTCGGATAGCTTTAAACTAGATGTCTGGTAGCTAAAAGCTAGTGTTTAGATAGCTTTAAACCAGATGTCTGATAACTAAAAACTAGTCTTTGTATAGCAATAAACTAGATGTATGATATCTAAAAACTAGTGTTTGGATAGCAATAAACTAGATGTCTCATAACCAAAAACTAGTGTTTGGATAGCAATAAACTAGATGTCTAATCTTGGCTAAAACGTAGTTATTGGATAGCATTGTACGTGGGAGATGAACTCTTTTCTTATGAAAACGCTCTTTTTGTTCTAATAAATTTCCATAGATGCTGACCACGTGAATGAAAACACTCTATATCGTAACCAGATTGATTGTAGTCTTCGGTTTTAAAAGCCCTAACACATGGAATCCGGAAACGGAATAAGAAATCAAACATGAACAATAGAAAAATAAGAAAACAAAGCTCATAAATATGTCCTTTAAAATTAAGGGCTTAGTCCTAGCGAATTTGTCTTCGCAATCCTGGAAAGGATTTCTCGTTAAATGGTAATAAAAGGTCGCTCACGGCAATTTTTGGTGAAACAAAATCTTAAATTCCTGTCACAGTCTGTTCGGTCTTTTGGTCGCAAAATTTTGTAATAGCTCAACAATCGCTTGGGCGGGGACTAGCTCCGATTGGATATACAGGAAAGTTCACTTATCTGTTCACTTCAGCAACGCTGTATTGCTCTTTTTCACTGCTTGTATACTGTATACTCAATGCAACGGGCGCTAGTCTAGAGTGAAGCTCATTGCAGCTCCTTCTATCCTGATTGGACTTGAAGGCTTTGTCAGTGTTACTCATTTTAGATTTAGTCTTTCATCAGTAAAAATAGTTCACGTTTTCCTTTGAGGCCACGGCGTAATAAGGAAATCGACTTCTACTTTAAATTTACATAGATTCAGCAAATGTCCAGTCAAAACAAAATAGCCAAAGAAACGTAAATATCACAAAGAATGTCCGTATGAATAAAAATTATCAATGTACAATACCGGTACTTTAATAAAAAAAGTACAAGTCGTCATTTTGCGCACAGTAACAAAGTTGTCGCTTGGAACCTTCTTGATAGAATACTATAACAATACTTATTAGTCTCGCCTTTTCGATTTATCGACTTGAGTGTTGTTTACGATTTTAATAATAATAATAATAATAATAATAAATACATTCTTATATGGCGCATTTACAAAGCTCAATGCACCTTACGATGATGTACAAACAGAAGATAAATCTCAAAATCCCTATCTAATCAAGTTCACCATAATGCTTACTAAAATAAAATAAGCTTTCCTAAAAAGATAAGTTTTCAACTTGTTTTTAATATATACTTAATGTCAGATCCCGAGGGAAACAGTTAGTTTTGTTTTCCCGAGAGTCCTGATGTTTCCCGAGACGAAGTCGATCCTCCGCCCTAGAATTTTCCCTTGGTACTTGACTAACTGTGAAGTGTTTAAGCATATTCAAGATTTCAGTAAGCACTTCATTATTTGAATTACAAATCAGCCAGGTTAAGTTTCAGTTATGGCAAATACATCCAAACGATTCGATAAGACCATATCACATAAAAGACCAGATTTCTTGTGTAAAGATTGAGCCTTCCAAACAGCAAACCTAAGTTTAGTTTTCGGCGTATTCATGCTGTCTGCGATCAATGTCTACGTATAGCAGGTTTTCCGTATTTCGTGATCGAGGAATACGGTTGGTTCGATGTTTATTAGGGCCTGTTTACATGGAGGTGGGGGACCCCAGGTAAGTGAGGTAACCCGCTAAGGTGGGGTACCCGCCTGTCCATGTAATCTCTCATTTTAATTTGATCACGTTTACATGATAGGTGGGGTGACCCGCTAAGGTGGGTTGCCTGGTCTGCCAGAGCGGGTAACCCTCTCAGCCGGGGTCAAATTTTGCCATGTAAACGTTTCAAGATGGGGTAACCCGCCTAACAGGGGTCGGAACGCGATACTGAATTCGCGCAAAATTCACTTTGGCGATAGCTTTGCATCATTATTAAAGGTAACAATAGAAAGCCACAGCACTGGGGGTTGCAGCAAAAGCAGCAAGCGAGTGTAGAAGAGCATCAATCACCAAAACACGTGGTTTGCCAGTATTTTTCTTGTCAACGTGCTTAGCGACCATTCAGTAATCTTGAGAAATTGCTCCCCGGGTTGGCGGGGTTGTAAGATTGCACGTAAAGGAGGGTTATTTTTTACCCCACCTAAAGGGGTTACCTCACCTATCTGGGGTCTCCCACCTTCATGTAAACAGGCCCTTAAATATACGTACTGGAATCGGCATGGCTCGTTCCTCCTCGGGTTGTTGTGCATTTCTCTACTGGTTTCCGTTTCAGTTTTATTTACGCGGCATCGACTGACCCCCATAGCTTTAATATTTAATAAGACCTCGCTCTCCAAGCGATGACACTGTGCAACATTAAAAGCTAAGAGATCCTTTCGTTGATAAACAAAGCGAGGCTCATTGTCAGCGACGGTGAGAAGACGCTGGTTAGAAGTGTTTGGTTGCATGAACTGCATGCCTTGTGCAGAAACATGAGTAGCATACGAGCAAGCTCTCTTGCAGGCTAAAACATGAGCCAAGGTAGGACCTGGATTCGGTGAAACGTCCATGCATTGCGTAAGATCTCTCGGCGGTAGAAATAGGCATACAAAACCATGTTTGTACCATGTTGTTATCGGCCTTCTTGGCGTGATTCTTCAAAACTTTAGTTAATCGTACTCGTTGAGCTTCCAAGCTCCAAGTTTCGCTACTTTGACTCCGAAGACTGTTGGTCGTTTTAAAAGACGGACTTGGACTCCATATAACCAAAATTATTAGAAAAAATCGTGGAAATCGATCGCTCATGGAAGACGCGGTACGCGTGGCAGCCATTTACTCTCGCTACAGAAATTAAATGCTATTTTATTAAGAATACAAACACATAGGCTATAGAAAAGGTGTTTAATTCAAACCAATCTCAAACTGTTCCACCCAGCTGAATTTCAATTAACGAAATAAAACTAACGAATTGATCGAGAGACTCCGATAGACAGGGTTTCGGCTTCCAAAACCAGGCAAGCTCAACAAAAATCCCAAAACGCAATAGATTAGAGAAAACAGCATTTTCCAGGCGAAACCTAACTTATCGGGCGAGACTCGACTGGAGGCTTCCATCCACATGTAATAGGGCACCAAAAACGTAGGTTCAAAAACGTTCCCAGAGTTTTTAAAGCGCCTGCTTTTCGTTTACGTGTGAACAGACGAAATTGGAGGTTTTTGAATACTTATCCATCAAACATCCTTTGATCAAGACAATCACTGTAAAATACCACAAGTCACAATGTTTGATGATTAATTAAATAGAAACACTTTGTAAATGACAATGGTTAAGGGGTTTTAAAATTCATAAAAATCGAGACGCAATTCACTTTTCAAATAGGGCAAAATTATTGTTTTGCAATTTAAAAGGCTGCGATCGACGCTTACACTTTTTACGCGGAATCATCTCACTTGGTGTCAGTTTTTATGGCATGGGGCGAGAAAAGTGCATCAATGGGCAAGAATGCAACGTAGCTTTTTTGGTCATTATCTTGATTCAGACGCCGAGTGAACTCCAAAAAAGTGACTCAGACTGAATAGTTCCTAAAAAGCGAAATAGTTGTCGTACCCCTGCTCTACCAATGATGTATTACGACCAGCTAGATCTTTTGTAATCAACAGGTCATAATTTTGTACTTACGCGTTATGCCACAGGTTTATTGTGACATGTCGGGAGGTGGCTGGACGCTCGCTGCTCGGTTTTCGAACGCTGATTCCAAAAACTGGATGCGAGATGATGCTTACTGGTGGTATGACATTCAGTCGTCACAGGGCTCGCCTACCAGCCCTTCAATTAACTACGATATGATATCGGAAGCGTTTTGGAAAGTAAAAGGAGATAACATTAAGATCACTCGAAGCGACGATGGCTCACACTCTGCCCTTCTCCGTACTTACTCTAATTGCTTAAGTTACAGAACCCTAAGAGGGTTTTTGTCCAGTTATGGCAGGTTTACATATTCCACTCCCTGGTCTGATGATAAGTGCCGCGGAAGCTGTCCAGTGTATTTTGGAGGCCGGTATAGTTCCATGCCAGAGTTTAATCAAGCACACTGCAGCAGCAACATTCAAGGAAGCAGCCGCATTGGGTTCTGGTGTCAGTGGCAATCCGGTGATGGTGCGGTGATGATGTTTGGTGGAGGAGGAAGTGGCTGTAATAGAGCAGATCATGGTATTGGTATCACTGAGGATAACGATAGTTCATTTCAGTATTCAGGACCAGTAGAGTATGATTTTGGTTATGATGCTGATTTCTCGCCTTCAAATTCATACTCCTTAAATTTGTGGATTCGCTGAATAGAATAGAATGGAATGGAATGGAATAATAAGAAAAGATTAGAATAAAACAGAATAAAAAAAGCTCCCTATATGCGCTTTACAGCCACTATATGACTAAAAAATTACAGAACACTGAACTAGTGTACCTAATAGTTAAAATAAAAACACCATATTTTGAAAAGATCAAGGCGAATTTCTATTTCCGCAATCCCACATTTTAACAAAAACTTTGATACCGTTAAATCAGTTAAAAGGGTCCCACTCCCCTCACCGTATAAAGTCTTTATCTACGTCATTATCGGATTCATTAATGTAACAGAATGTAACGAGTGATTAACTTTGCGTGGCAAACGAAAATATCTAATTATGTAGGTTGTGCGTTGTATATTCGAGTTGTCCTTGTGACATTAAATTGAATGGCCGACAGTAAGGGACGGACCATTAGAAAAGTTATGGGGGGTAATTTTCGAGCCGCAGGAATGTTTTTCGTTATCATATCCCTTGTATGAATTATTTTAGGCCACAGCATGAATATTTTTAAGAGTTAATTGGCGTGCATGAATTTTTTTTCATTTAATTTTCCCTTGCGCGAATATTTTTTGTGTACTTCGCCGCCCCCATCCCCCTATCAGTTTTCTAATGGTCCGTCCCTAAGACCTTTTCAAACCTTTATGCCACTGTAGTGTGTTAATGATTAAAAGCTGTGTCCTGGTTCTACCACGATACTAGCGCTCTATTTAGGATCTAGGATATCTTGGAATTTGAAAACTTTTGAGCCAATAAAGCAGGTCTGTGGGTCTTACGTCTACTTTTAATGTTTTATATACGACCAAGTAAATTTTGAAGCCAAAGGTTAGCGCAAAAGCTTACATCAAAGATACCTACCCTTTTTCTCTATTGCGAATTAATACTTTTCGAAATTTTTAAATTCATAGGATAACCTGTACGTTCTGAACGTGCGCGTGCTTTTGTCGGATTAAGCAAACACGAAAGTGGCGGTAGCCTGTGCCAAAATAAGCCCTCGGTCAGTGCAGACCACCGAAAAAGGTGCGGTTTTCGCGCAGCTTTTCTCTATGCGCTTTCCCCACTATCTTGGAGTCTGGAACAGGCTAAAGCGGCGGCAGCGAAAAGTTCACTTATAAAGTGAATCCTCTCTTTTTCAAACTATTGCTATAACATTGGTTCAGTTTGTCAAATGAAGGCGATCTTTCTGGAGTAGAACTCTTATGAACCGTATCCAAGTTCAGTAAGAACTAAAAAAAAAATTGTCGCCTTGTGCTTACGTCGAGAATAAAAAAAATGGTCAATTTCACGCCGTAAGCTTGCGGTGACTAAAGAAAATATACCGTGTGATGTACGCGTTGAGTTATCGTTTAGCTTTTTAAACTAACTGTAGTTGCCGTCGCCTTTGTAGTTGTTTAGGCTTCCGCCGTTAGTAATACTGATCACTATGTAATGACGCAGGAAAAAATTTAAATGTAAAGCTTCGGTAAAACGATTAACAAAAACGGGCAACTTCAACTTTCAACATTGCTGCAAAACGAGTTCAAAAGCGATGTTGCGCGTTTTGCCACCGACGTTCATAACTGATTTTTTGATAGACAGGTTTGATGATTTACGTGGGATAGTGTAGGTGGCGAGGTAAATTTCCACCACTAGCCACCCACACTTCGGTGAATAATTGTTATTTATCTAATTTATCATGCAGAATCATAATGTAGATGTTGTAGTTATTTTTTTTATCTCAGGTACTTTTTGTGTTTCTTCCAGGTGAATTTGTATTTCCGCTATTTCGTACTAAACTCAGTTTTAACACTAATGGTGCTTTCAAACCGGTAAATCTGCCAACGGAACCCCCACTTCGCTCCCAATACTTCGAAGTCAATAGTTACGCTATAGCTCTCAGCTATAGCATTCATTAACGTAACAAAATATAAAATGATTAAACTTAAAAAGCATAAATGGTTAATTATGTTGGTTCACGCGTCTGCCATTCCACCCTTATCCTTGTGAAAATGAACGACTGACAGTGAAACCGCACTTAGTTTTCAGACCTTTATGCCACTGCAGTATTGTGACTATGGGGAGAGGCAGTGTCCTGGTTTTACCAGTGATGCTAGCACTTCTTTTAGGATCAAGGATTTGTTACACTTTGAAAACGTATGAGCCAAGGAAAGCAGGTTTGAGGGTCTTACGCACGTTTACTTTTAACGCTTTGTAACTTAGTGAATTTTGTAGCAGTTGGTTTGCGCAAAGCTAATATAACTTCCCGTGCCCAGTTACCTCCAGGATGAAATAAATAAATTTCGAATTGCTGGCTTTCGCAGATTGCATATAACCTGTGTGTTCTAAGTGTGCGCGTGCTTTTGTCGGTAGGTTGCAACAATAACATGAATAGGAAGCTTACGCAAACACGAAAGTGACCGCAGCGAAAACGTCATTTACAAAGTAAATTCACGCCTTTTCAGCTGAACTATTGATATATTCCATTTGCTTCAATTTGTCAAATGTAGACAATCTTTTCTGGAGCAAAATTATTTTGGACCATACCCAAGTTAAGAACTGGAAAAAAAAAGAACATTCTTCAAAAAACTCATAAAACAGAAATGTTAAGCCGGCATTATGTTGCGTGAGACAATCTGACCTACATATGCTAGTATGCAAAACAGCATATAATTATATATTTTTTAGATAATAAAATACACTTGTCGTTGATAAAAGCTGTTTGACTATCTTCGCATTTTCTTAGCTACTACCGAAAAAATAGAGAGATTTTGAGTCACGCTTTAATACGGCAAATGGCAAACGTCAGATTCAAAATGAGAATTCAGCTGAAAATTTCTCAAAATAGAATATAAGCAGATAAAAACAGCTCAGAACAATTCAAATGTATAAAAATGGCGTGAAACAAATAATTTCTGAGTAAAAGTAACGAACAGTAAACAACACTAAAGGGAAAAGTTGGTCACGTGGTGCAAAGATCACGTTTCCCTTTTGACGTAAACGGGGTTCTACAATTATGTGCAAACAATATGTGTCTAGCCCTTCCTTGAGAGAATATGTCGGCCTTTACTAATGATTTTTGTTTTGTAGGCGCAACAAGCAATGCTTCAACAAACTCACACCCTATTTTGCAATATCAAGAAGGAAGGCAAGAAAACAAAGATGGGTCTAACCTCCTGGTTCAACATCGCGTCAGAAAGGGAGTTGGTGAGTAATTTCAATTTTAACTGAGATGCTGACCTGTGGGAGTTCTTTTTCTTTTAGGTATAGGTCAAAGAAAAAATCAGAGTTGGTTTTCAAACAAATAACCATCCTCTCTATTTGTCTATTTGTTATATTATTATTTGTTGTTTACTGTTGTTTTTATTATTTACTCTTGTTTTGACATGACACGGAGTTGACCAACGACCTTACCTTGGAACAAATTCAATACAACTAGTGCTGTGATCGCAAGAGTAAGCTTAAACACTGATCGCTGTTGGACCAACACTTGTATTACAGCTTAGTTCTACCGTCCGAGTGTAGGTCTCCTTTACTACTTCGATTGTTCCGAACGCCCTTTTACAACATTTTCTCGGTAAAAACTGCAGTGACAATAAACACTTGCATTTTTTTTCAAACAGTATTTAACAAAGATGTTTCAGAAGTTTTTGTTCAGTTGTTTTGTTGCTGAAGTGTAGTTGTGTTTTCTTTGTTGTTGTTGTTTTTAATGTTCATTTAGTTGCTTTTTTCGGTATTGGCTAGACTGTTGCAAGCTCAGGTACTTTTACTACCACAGGTAATGACCTAAATGAATTGAAGGACAAAGCAAAAAAAGCTAATTCAGCTTACAAATGGATAAAAGTGAATTGGAAGAAAATTTTTGTGATCATTGTTGCGATATTTGCATTGATTGTTGTCGTGGGAGTCTATCGAAGGTGTTTCTCTGATTCAGGGTAAGTTGAAGTCTTTTAATGCCGTTATGCAAAAACACACGAAGTAGCACTGACACAGTGACTGACATAAAAGATCGGGGCAGTGGATAGGATTAGCTTAATTAGTTGACTTCGTGAATCTGGCTGGTTAGGCCTTTGTTGCATTGTTCCACTACGTATATATACAACCCGGTTTTAGCGAAAGGCTGCGTCAGGCTGCGTGTATTAATAAACTATGCGCCCGTTGCTGTGCCAAAAAGGGAGATCTGCGTAATTCGATTTCATGTCTAGCTTACAGAATAACTGCCACAGAAAAATGACATATGAATCTTCCACGAAAATATACTCGTCTGGCTATAAATCAATTGCGTCTTGACTAGATCGATCGAATTACCGGCGGAGCTTAATGTCCATCTTATCTAAATTATTGCGGTCTTATGTAAATATAATGTACCCTTTAAGTGCCGCGACCCTCCGTTCAATAGGTAAAAAATTCACTTACAGTATCAGATTAACATAACGACTCGAGAGGAGGAGTAACTTTAAACTGTCCATAAAACCTGCAGTGTTATTTCAGCCCTTTTTTGCCATTTTTTAACTGAGTTTAGCAGCTTCGTGAAATAGTTTTCAAAGAAGAATTTTAATATATTTGCTGCAATTTTGTCGTTTTTTGACTTTTTTTAGCTCTGATGAAGACGACGTCCAACCCAACATTGTCGTTTTAAAAATGCAAAAGCCAGACTCGATAGGTAATGGTGAATTTGACGACCGGATCGTGAGGGAAGGACTCACTCACGGAAATAATGATGGCACATGGGAAGGAAAGGGTCTCCAAAAGGCCACTCATGACTCTGAGATCAAAGGTCACAAAGGCAAAAAGGTCGCAGATAAATTGGCAACCACTGGAAAAGCTGGAGGCCAAACTTTAAGATCCTTCGCTACGTCAAGAAACGTTTATTTCAAAGACATAGCGACTTCAAACTCTTTTTTTAAAAATGACGGATTTCATCGTCTTAAGATGGATAGTATTCCTGTTTCTGGATATACTACTTTTCAGCAAAGAGACTTTTCTTTGCTCTACTTTCATTTCTCTAAGCAGCTTTTCAAAGTGAAAGCACAGGCAGACCAACTAAGCGTCCAATCTACAATGACCTGGCAAGGAAGCCTGCGCAAAGGTCCCTTTCCATTCTACGAGGAAATCATGATACCGTTGATAAAAATGTTGGGAATGTCGTCAAAAGAAACATATTGTGACGATTATGTGCCAGTTGCTCTCACAAACACCAACATACCCTTGACTGTTTCGCCTTAAAAAGTGCACCTTCTTTGCGAAAGATCGGACCTCCGGATATCTTGTTGGACGTACGCTCAACCAGTCAATCTGTCGTATCAAGTAGAGAGTATATGTGCCTTAGCCTAAGTGGCTCAGTAATTGTAGTTGTCATGTTTCAACTTCACCCCTTTTCAGTATTTGATTTCAAAGGCAGATCAAATTATTCAGCATCAAACTAACTCAGATTCATATTCATACCGTTATTGATCCCACTAAACCGTTTCTTGATAGTACAGTTTTTCAACACGTCCTTCCTGACTGTGGAAATCAATTTGGTTGCACAGATTTCACAACCATAGGATAAAGACTCATAATGCTCTTTTAGAACTCCTTATGTTATAGTACAGAATCAGGCTTGTCCCCTTGATCTGTCACTGCTACTTCTGATATTGTTTTTTGCTCAATGCAACGACAGGTCGTACGAGACCAGATTGATATCTGGCAAAACCCATTTTTTGAAAACAACTGTCATTCAATGCTGATTATTAATGACTTCAAAATTCTGCTGAAAGATAATGAAAATAAAACCTTTGCCAGCTGGCCATGTTGTACGCTTTAATAACATTCGTTAGGATGACAGTTAAAGGCCTTCAGAAGCTGAACTCTTACTTTTTTTACCTTTCAACTTTATTGGTCTAAATCTCTTCTCAACTAATGATATAAATGAGAAGAAAAAAAAAAAAAGAAACACCAAAAGGTAATACGAATAGGACCTAAAGTCTTATGCAGGGCACCTCCCAAATAAAACAGAAAAAATCACCCTTAAAAAGAAAATCTTAAGCAATCCTTCTGAAACTATTGTTGCCAATGGCAACCAAAATTATATGCATGAACAAGGTTTATCGGGGTCAAAAACATTTGCCTGCTCATCAGTTTAGTTATTCTGTTTAGTTTTGGTGCTGAGAAATTCACTGGTTTAATTAATTTACAAATTAGGTTCCATAATTTCATAGTATGTTAACAAAGGAGGACCGATGAGTAACTGTTTTACAAAAGGGCGTTTCCAAGTACTTACATAGAACTGTACCCGTCCAAGACAGAGTAAGGGAGTTCACTCACTGGGTTTATCAAAAGGGAAACATTGCAAGTCATGCAGCTGGATAACAGGCTCCCAAAGGAGTTTCTCTCTCAAGTTATGGTATCGCTCAGTGGAATTTAAAAACAACTTACTATGTTTTATAGCAGAGTCAAGTCCCTGGTCCAAGTCCTGAAGGAGACAAACAATAAAGCTCCAAATTACTTATCCTTAACTTCTGATATAGATTTACTTTTGAAATTGTTTTCTGTTTGTCAGCGAAACAAAGGGAGAATATGACATGTTTTTGGAAATTTTACTAGGTTATTTCCCGTACCTCTTAATCCAGAGATCAAAGGTACCTCAGGATCACATTAATTTTACACAATGTCACTTATGTATGTGTATGTTTTCATGTTTTAAATATAGTTTACACATGGCCGTCCGACTTGAGGATGGTTTAACACCTGTATGCCCTCAGCAATGTATTTTTACAGCCCCACACTAATGAAATCGACCCTAGATGTATTTTCAGTCACATTTAAGCAACTCAAACAATGTAGGGCCATCACCAGTGTCAAATACTTGATTTAACTTAAAAGCCACTTTAGAACACAATCTGTTAATCAAGAGTAACCACTCACTCTTTGTCATAATGTGAATACCACGAAAGCCAGGATGCAGCCCTGATGAAGTTACATTGTGGTCTGTGTCTCCAGCTTCAGGATTACAACTATTCACAATTATAAACTTTCCACCTTTTATAAGGACTTCATGACAGTTTTCCAAGACTTTGATCATTTCATCGTGGGTAAAAATTACAAACAAGTTTTTGACAATGATGGTATCCACTTCTGTTGATTGTGGCACATCTTTCAGGATATTTCCTATTGTAAATGTTATTCGATTATCAGGAATCCCCTCTTTTGCTAAGAACGTTTTGGAACATTCAATAACATCCGGGAAATCAAATAGAACCCCGTTGACGTGCTCACATCCAGGTAATTTAAGTATGCGAGACAAAAACTGACCCTCTCCTCCCCTGATGTCCATGATCCGTATACACCTACCTCAGGTTTACAAGGTGAAAACGCTTGGCTGCGAACTGAGCAGCTCCAGTTCAAAGCTCGGTCATAATCATGTGCGAATTCGCTCCTTCTTTGCCGTAGACCCACTTTTTTTTGTATGAGATTCTCCGTTGTTGCTTTTCCACGACCATACTCCGGGGTGTCAGTTTTTTACATGTAGTCGTAGATGTTGATGCCATGAGCTAGCTTAAACGCTGTATCACCATTTTTGACCGCTTCAGGAAAAACCAACATACTCAGGCTGCTCCACACTTCGTCGCCACCATAATAAGCAACTATGTGTCCGAGACTCGTTTCTTTTCTACTCAGAAATAAGCAGTTTCACGCCAGTTTTATCTATAAGAATTTTTCTGGACAGTTTTTATCTGCTTTAGTTATTTCCTATTCTGACAAATTCTCAACTTGAATCTGACGTTTGCCGTAAACGTGACTCTTAATCTCCCTAATGTTTCGTTCAAATTCAGAATGGATGCCAAAGAAAAAACATCGTCATTCATGTAACTATAATCTGGTCGGATGTGAGTGCCAACTGTGCGAGGGTTTGGGGGGAGAGGGCGTGAACGCTCTTTGCCCATCCCCCAAGCCGGGAGATTGCACCCGGGCTACCATAGTGCAATACTCTAGCCACTGCTACCATAGTTACGAAAAGGTCATCTTTGTTCTAGGCCTATGACGCATGCATGGGAAGGTGGAGTTTCCCTGTCCAATACAGACACGCTTTTTTAACAAGATGATGTGTGTGAATAAAGCGGAGTCCGATGAACATGGCAGGAATGTTTGTAGAGAAAGATTTGGAACGTAACGTCATGGATACACATCGCTCAGAACTGATGCTATAACTATGCGGAATGAAGAATCAAAGCAAAGACGGTAAAAGGCTACGAGGAAGCTGTCTGTTGGCCTGTGCCTCTTAGTTGATCAAGATTTCATGCGCGACGATATGACCAACTATGTGCGTATGACGCTTGAGTTAGCGACATCTAAGGAAATGTCCCGGCGTCCTCGTCAAAACCACTGGTTTTGTGACTATATTTCTTCTGCCAGTTGTTCACTTGCATGAATTCTGATTGGTAGAAACTATTCCTCTTACGGGACCAAATTTTGCAGTTGGTAACGGTTTTAGCTCTCCCCCTTGGTGCTGTTCATCCATTCGTCTTTCTTCTTATGTTGACCGAAACGATTTTCATGTCATACACTTTTATTAAATTTACACCCAAACTATAAAAGCAATAAAGGGAATCTCCTTATATATTTTAGTCACGCAACCTGTTTTTTTTTTTTTTTTTGACTGTAAGGACAAAACCCTTTGTTGATAGCGCCTGCTCTTTATTGAGGCGAATTTTCCTCTTTGATAAAAAGTCCGAAGATGAAGTCTGAGTCCGGTTATAGATCCCTGACCGAAAACGGCGGGTAGTCGAGCTTAAGGAGGTGCATCTGCTGGAAAAGTGGGGTCCTGCAGTGTAAATCGCATAGATTGATTAATTTAGTTGCTGCACACCATGGTAGACAGGTGTTTGGTATTTGGTCCAATCCCGCCAAATTGAAGCTATCCAGTCAACCTCTTGGAGCAAAGGAGAGAACCAACAACGACCCCAACCCACAGATGGCGTCGACGCCGAGATTTGAACCCGGGCCAAATTGGTGGAAGGTGAGTGCTCTTACCACTGCGCCATCCCTTGCTCCCCAAAATTAGGGGGTAAAGGAGAGGAAGAGTGGATATGAGCGGTTCTTTGTGTCTTAAAAGCAGATTAAGTTCTAACCATGTGGTTAACCCGGTTGCCTAACTGCAACTTAACCTTGTAATCCATAAATTAATGTCCCTTTGCGGGCACTTACTGTTACCTAGCTAATGTTGTAAACTTGCTAATAGGTAATCTTTATTCTCCGTGAAGACCCGTACAAACATAATTTCTTGGACATGTCATTATTTTCGAAGCTGTCGAGTAAGTGTTCAATCCCAAATGTTCTCTTCGCTTTATCATCAAGAATTCGTCCGCTCTTCAAAACATGTCATAGTCCAAGCTCCAAGCAAACATGTCATAGTCATAGTCCCGGGTGTATGTGTACCGGACGGTACAAAGTAGGAAAGTGAAAACGCAATATTTATGCTACAGTTTTTTTAATTACAGTTTATTTTTATTTATCCTTTGTTTCAAACTCTTTAGCATACATTACTATACCTAAAAACAAAGAAAAACAAAAATTAACTGAAACGAAAGATCAACTATACAACATTACGTCTGCCTAATCTCGTCAGCCTGAGGAAACTGAAAAAAGTTGGCAAAGCTCCACTTTAGAAGGCTAACGACCTAAAGTAGAATGAGCTACAATTTCTATCAATACCAAAGGATTAAGAAATGACTACCATTCTTTCATTGTTATTTTTGAAGACCAATGTAAGGTTATTTTCCCAGATCTTTCAATAAATTATAAACGTCACCTTATCGATTAAGTTCTATATTCTCAACACTACGCTCAATCTGATCAGAATGTAGTTTTCACTTTTCATTAGTTTACTTGCGGTTTGTTAAAAAGTTATTTATTCTTCACGTTCCTTTACATATTAAGTCCGTTATTGATGTTGGCGGAGTCTCGCTTTGGGTGAGCTCTGTTTGCTGGGACACAAAATAATCACAAACCCAATATGGGATATTATGGCCACGGGAGTATCCGTTTATTAAATTAAAGTATATAAAGCTGGGAAAACCAGATACTCAAGAACATTATCCCAGCAAAGGTGAGGACACACATGCCATTTCCTATGGTAAAATGCTCGCTTTCGTGGCTTACATGACGGCCGTGACATAAATGACACTTTCGTGACAAATCACCCGGATGAAAGGAAAACCCTCCTTTGCTGGTAGCTGGAGAAATAC